TTCTCTCTCTTTCTTCTTTTCTCTTTATTTATTCTTTCTTTCTTTCTTTCTTTTCTTTTCTTCCTTTCTATTTCTTCTTTTCTTTTTATTTGTTTTTTCTTTCTTTTTCTTCTTCTTTTCTCTTCTTCCTTCCTCTTATGGTGATAGGAAAGTGACTAAAGCCGAAATGTCAAGTCAGGAGTGATAACATTGCAGATTCTTTTGGGGATTTTATCACGAATCTCTAAATAGATAGCTGAAGCACCAAAACAGATGCGACAGAAATATTCAATGAATTCTAGACTTCTAGATATGTAAGATAGATTCTGGACAGAAAAATTGTCTAGCACGACACAAGTGAACCAACATAGTAACTGATTCAATATAATCACTTCATTTCATCTCAGTGGAAAAAATAGACAAAGAAGCCACAATAAGTTTGCCTCCTGATAGTTAGCATCAGCCATATTGATGGAGGGAGAAAATGGTTCTCTATGATGATGAATGGATAGCAGTATCGTTTTGGAGGCATTGATGAAGATTTTTATTAGTCTTCCACACTTTAAAATTATGTAGGTGTGATGAGTTTTTCCAACCGATCTTTTGCCACGCAATGGGTTCCATAGGAGAGTGTCAATCACAAGTTCTGACTGACTTCTCCAAGAGTGACCAGCTAGCCAAAGCCTTCTCTCTCTTTGCAAAACTGAGAAAGGAAGAAGGTGTCTCTACAGGCGTTTCTTTGTTGGGTGTTTGTTTCAGCTGATGTCCAATGCAACTCGTAACATCCTCAAAAGATTCAAATGACAGTTTCTAAAAAAGAGATTAATGCTGTCAAAAAGGTGAAATAAAAAAAATGTATAAGGGCATGGATGGATTCTGACGATAAAAATTGTCTGGCACGACACAAGTGAACCAACTTTTTTAGCAGAAGACCTAGCAACTGATTCAATATAATCGTTCTCTAATTATTCTTCTTCAATTGTGATTCTTACTTCTTCTTCCTTTCTTTTCATGTGAACCAACTATAAGGAAAACCTTATTATTTGCCATTTTATAAAATTCAAATTGATTGGCAATTAACTGATATTTTGTAAGAAGGTGTCTATACAGGTGTCTATACAGGTGTCTATACCCTTGTTAATTCTCAAGAACAAAGAAAATATATAAATTCACTTTCATATGCTTAGGTTTTCTTACAATTCTAATCATCGCTTTTTAAAACAATAAACATTGCCGAGGAGTGAAGGTAGTTAAAATAATAGCAGTGTCAAGGGAAAAACTGTCCTTTTGACATTTCATATTTTTATGGGCACAAAGGTCCAAGATTGGTGAAAATTTGATATTCACAGGACAGATTGAAGGCAAGAGGGACAGACGAAAACAATGCATAACCTACCTAGTGACTTTGTGTAAAAAGATGGGGCAGCAAGGTTAAATAGAGATAACAAAAAGACAACATTTATTAAGAACTACAAAGGACAGGAAATTGTGGAGAGCCATGATTACGAATGTTCTGGAGGGACACAGCACGAAGAAGAAGAAGAAGAAGAAGAAGAAGAAGAAGAAGAAGAAGAAGCAGCTTGAGTAAATGGATGGTGGAACAAGGTTTAGGAGAGATAATTAAAAGACAAAATTTATTAAGAGCTACAAAGGATAGGATATTTTGAAGAGCCATGATCACCAACGTCCTAAGGTATACCCCTTAGGACGTTGGTGATCATGGCAAAGAAGTGAAATTAACATCTGTTATTATAGATGAACATTAATTCTTATTAAAAAAGCTCTCAGCAGGAATTGAACCTACATTACCTTTATTTCTGGGAGACCATCTTTTAGCCAGGTATGTCTTTGCCATCTCAACCATGGAGTTCCTTACCGAAAGGCAAGGCTGAATTACCCTTCCTACAAGAAATGTACATCTCTTATTTATTTCTATATTTACTTATATTTTCATAATTGAAACATAATAGAGTAATTTAAATAACAGTTTGTTTTTTTTTCAATCCAATATTATTTCTTATTACGATAAATAATATTTTAGTTCAGTGTTTCACAACAAATTTTATTTCAAGGTAAGCTTGGAGAATAACTAAAACTCTGGGGTATGCTTTAAATTTTAATAACGAAAAATAACATTTGAAAATAGAAAAAACAATCAAGAAGTCTCCTGAAATAAGCATTTATTTTTAAGACATTGCATTGTATATTTAAGTATGCTTGTGTGAAACCTGTGCTTTGGCAAAGAAAAAAAATTACCTTTAATGGTGGGCATTTTTTTGGTTTAGCATACCAAAAGAAGATTAGTGGTACAGTTTTCATTTAAAGGGGTTTATGAAGAATCAATTTTTTTAGAGGGGTCAATAGATTGATTTAAATCCCTTGAAGGAAGCAAAAGGAAAGGATTATCCACTCCTTCTTAAGGATTAAGGAATTTAGCATCCAGTTTAAAACATCAAATAACAAAGACTTGACTTAGGCATGGAAGCTATGTCTCTAGCTTTTTAAGATTGAAGATTTTTTA